GCAGTATTGTCGTGGCCATTACTTTAATTAAATTATATTCGTACGGGCTCGACGTCGTCAATCGTAAAAACCAATACGCTTAATGCATCTGTCAACGCGACGGCAGTCACAAAAAGTGTGTGCGTAAAAAATTTCTAAAGCAAAATCACGTACTTAAAGGCAATAAGCATTTTTATATCCTTCCCCATAGCAACGACCAAGTTCGTGGAAATTCGGGGAAAATATTTTTAAAAAAAACACAACCACGAAAACATGCCGCAACTCACACTCTTGCAATCGCACCAACACACATTTCTATTAAAACGCAAATTTCAACAGATTAACACACAGACCACCGGATGTGGAGGAGAATTCAGATTCTGATTCTGATTCAGATTCAGAGGGGCTGGGAAGGCAGCGCGTGTCATTCGCCGTGTAACAATTTTGAAACTTTTATAGAGTTTTCGGCGTTGAACAAAAAAATTCCATCGATGGTCGGCGGACAAGTTTAAGAACACGTTAAACTTTTTACGACTTTCGTAGATGAGGATTTTGTGGCCCAAAATATATGCGGAACTTTTCTCTCCACGGAGAGATAATGCAGTCAGGAGTCGAGGTCGAGGTAGAGGGATACTGAAATTTAAGGCAACAGCTGCTACTAATTAACCTGCCCATTTGGACCTCAAGGCCGCCGGTTTGTATTAGTTAAAAAGTCATAAAAAACCGAATTCCGGCTGATTGAAAAAAGCGCTGAATCCGATGGCGTTATTCCCGATTCCCGATGGCTCGGGGGGACTTAAACCGCTGAAACTTCATTGCATATTTATGGGCTCTCTAGTCCCCACACATTGGGCGTTTTTTGCCGCTTTTTAAATATTTAAATTCCAGCTACCGTGTGGGAAACCAAACAGAAGACGGGCGCACATTTGGCATAAATAAATAGACTGTCCTTTTTCGTAAGTCGAAAAGGTGAAAGCCAAAGTAAGTCAACGGCAACGGCAACGGCAAAGACAAAGGGCTGGGGCTTAAGGTTGGAATGCTTCCAAGCGGCAGAAATCCGTTTAAATTGAGCGAGAATTTAGCTTGTGGACCTCCTGCAGTTGCAAAATGCCAGCATAATTTAAGTTTCCCCAGGAAAATGCAATTAAAGTCTGGCCGGCGATGAGTTTTGGGCATCAGACAAGCAGCCTTCCCCTCACTCTCGCGCTCTCTCTGGGCAAGCTTAGCTCTTGTAGCACTTTTATTTAACTAGTCTAAGCGGCTTTTGCCTAGACAAACTTTCCCGCACCGAAATCCGCTTGACTTTTGGCCAAGTCTTTATTGCCGCGCCTGCTTGAATAGACGAGCATGTAGGGAAATTCTCGATGACAGTGTGTGTGGAAGCGGGCCTTTGCTAAATATTAATATAAAATACATAGTAAGAAGTTTTATTATTGCTCCAAGATTATTTCTAAGCTCTACGTTTCTCTATAAATTAAAAGGCAGAGAAGGAAAAAAAAGATCTGCTAAAAGTTGGTTTCTTAAAAAAAATATATTCCTTCTTTATACTTTGAAGAAGACGCGAATTCATTATATTAAATCCACTAATTTTCATGGATTTTGATGGAGCAATTGCCCCGGAAATTTCTTCGCCTTGACAACGAACACCGCTGAATACAAATATATATGCATGAAAAGCTCTTTTTTGGGGGCCAGCCGACAATCAAAGCCGGCCACAAAGACTGGCCACATTATGTGCTCATGAGCCTATGCATATGCCACACAAAAGTTGAGTCCAACAAAGGAAGCCCAACTGCGTCAGATCTTTTGTACGGTTTCGCGTGTAATTTATTTGACAGTTTGACAATTTGGAAAAAATGAACGCTAAACAGGGCAGGACGACGACCTGGGGAAAAGAGCGTGAAAGTGGCCGCGGGCGCACAAAAGGTTCCAACGCAACGCGGTGGCTACGAACTGTTAAAAAGCCTGGAAGCCCCGGGAAACCGGGAAAATGAGGGGGAAAAAAGTGGGGAAAACACCTCGGACCGGCGCTGCAAGGCGCTAATGTTGAATTAAACGAGCGCTGACAGCGGCATAAACAAAGGGCGGACCGCGACACCCAACGCTTGGCATCGCCCAAACAGGACCAGGATTTATTTGCCTCACATATGTATATCTATGTATATGTATACTCGTATATAGTACTATATATGGCATGCATATTTATGATAAATTGTCGCTGTAGGAAAACGTGTCGCTGACATTTTGGCGCCTATGGAAAAAGGACACAAAACAGGGAATGAAAGAAAAACTCGGCACAAGTCAAAGTCAGCATGAATGTTTGTATGAAATTTTAATAACCCGGCAAACAGGCATTATTATTGAATTGCTGAACATTGCCACGAAATGACTTTGTAATGCGAATAAAATAAAAAATAAAAAAAAAAAACGTTACCATGAAGACCAAGACGAGCTACCAATATGGCGAAGCGTTTTTTTATGAAGCTGAAAAGCCGTTTAATGTCACGCCACCAAAATAATCCAGCTTTGGAGTTGATTGGAAAATGCTTAAAAAATAGCACAGAAAATAAAAAAATAAAGGAGCTAAATGTTGGGGAATGAGTGTGCAGATGCCTCATTGGAGCTCCTCTAAGCTTTATTGTCTCTGTCGCTGCCATTTGCACACTCTGAAAATCTCTGGTCGCATTCAACCTGTTAGCCGGGACGATATTCCTGCCTACTTTTCGCTTTTCGGGACCAGAACCAGCTCTTTGCGGCTGCTCAAATGTAGTCGTAAAAGTGCTTTTACGTAATGCGACAATGTCACTGGGACCGAGACGATAATGGTCCCCCAAGAATTGTCCCGCTTACGTGTGTATGGTTGTCTGTTTTAGCCGGCCTTGAAGTGAAATATTTACAATGCTCAGTCTTAAAGTTAAATTCTGAAGGATTATACTATATACTATATATGTGGGGTGCAGAACGACCCAAGAAACTCCTTTCCACGCCAATCCCATCAAGCTTTAGTTCGCTTTAAGCTCTTACCTTCAATTTATTGGCTTTTGATTTTTATTTTATTGGTATTATCCGAGTTTTTCAGAAACATTTATAAGATTAATTTTATAATTAGACCCTTAAACCTTTAAATATTAAATTAATATAAATCATAATTACATAAGAACCTTAAATCCAACATAGAATTTACCTAACCTAATTGCCATTTCCTCACTTGTTAGCTTATGGCTTGGCCAAATTAATTATACACATCTATGTGGTTAAGTTCCTTTAACCCCATGAATGCTCTATTTGTGCAAAGTGTTATTTAAGCAGAAGCCATTCAGCCTTAGATCGAGCTGTATCTTCTGTTCCAAATCTGAATCCGACCCGGGTAAATAAACTTAAATGCTTTGACTCCTGTTTGGCCAAAGAGTTTAGTTTAGTTTAGTTTAGTTCAAGGGGGTCGACAGTCTGCTAAAATGAATGCAGCTCCAGATGCACACGTACATATGTATGCAGATTTTTGTGTGTGTTTTACTTATGCAAATGGCGTGCAACTCACAGGACACTATGCTCACTTTACCTAACTCACACACGACCCTTTTGTTGCGCTGTTTTAATTAAACCAGCTTCGGTGCTGGTTCTAATTCCACGTGATGCAACCCATTTCGCCATTCCGAGCTGCAGATTCCTCACATTCGTTCTCTTTCATTCATATTTCTGGCCTCCAACTATTATTTTATTAATATTGCCGGCCAGGGCAGCGTTTTCGCAGACCTTTTGTTGGGATTTTACTATTAGATACCGCTGGTGTTTCATTTAAAAATTGCAAAAGAGTGATTTTTGTTTTTGAGATAGTAACATGGGATATGATTTATCAGAGTATATGGTTTATGGAAGTTTAAATAGTTATTTATAAATAAAATGTATTTCCAAAAGTGTTAAATTTCATAAATGGGAAATAGGAAACCAGAAATCTTGGCAATGTAATGACTCTCAGTTCATGAAAGTGCTAATTTAAATTTAGTTTCTGTATTTGAGTATGTTAACCCAAGAATTTCGTGTAGTTTGTCTCAACAAAACATGGCTTAAAAAATCTTTAAAAACTAATTGAAAATCGAAAGAACACTGGAGATTTCCCCAAAGCCACTGCAAATCTGTCAGTTTGCTTTCCCTGTTCCTTTTACGCCGTCATTACAGTTACAGTGTTACACCCTTTTATTGTCGAATTCAGATTATCCGCTTTGCGCGGACTCGGCCGTTTACTTGTTTATCATACTGTCAATTACTTTTAACATTCGGATCTTAATGGCGAAATCGCAACTGCTTTCCAATTAAGAGTAACGCATTGCGGGTAAGTAAAAATAAAGTAAAGTAAAATAAATGCATTCTCTCCCTCCTTGGCTTTTGCAGTCTTCCAAACTGGTCAACACTGGAGAGAACTGCAGCTGCGTCGCCCACATGTCGTTGGCATCTCCTTTGGGGACTCCACCATACCATACCATACCATGCCATTCCGTTCCATTCCACTTCGCTCCCACCAACCGCTTATGCAAATGGATTTTCAGCCAAAAGCGAAGGTCACTGCGTCCTTTGCGGTTGTTAAATGCATGCCTGGTGCCCAGTGCCTGGTGCCTGGTGCCTGGTTGGTATCTTACCGAGCTCCACTGATCCGCCTCCAGAAACTCATTAACAGCAGTGTTGCCTTTTAAGTCGGCTCTTGGTTCTCTTGGTTCCTGGCTCTTTGCCCCTTGATGCCCAGGCTAAAGTCACAATAATTAAGTGAAGACGTTTCGCGACAGGGATGAAAGGAAGTAAACTGTTTTCTTTTACTGCCAAAAAGGTCGTTTTACATTTAGTTAATCCGCTCAGGGACTAGTCTGTCAGGTCTGCCAGCCTTCTCGGTGAAGGGTATTCTGGCTTCGTTGTAAGAGAGTCGAGTTGATACTTTTTCTTGCTGGCTTTTTCACATTTAAGAATTTCACGGCATTACATCTTCCCACGCTAGTTTCAATTTCCAAGCACCGAGCAAAAAAATCGCCATGTAGAGTGGAGGGAAAGCCGCTTAAACGCAACTCGAGACTTTTTAATAATTTACGTCGGCTGAGGCGCGAATCAAAGAGCATTTGGAGTGCCCACTCCGATGCCGAGGGGCAGGTGTACAAATAGAGATACAAATAAAAATAAACATTAGCCGCTGGAAAAGTGTTTCCCATTAAAGTTTATGTAAATCCCCAGAACGTTAAAGGAAACGAAAAGATAGGGCTCGAACGGATGGATAACATTTACTAGGCCGACGTCTGGTCCTTAATGATCCGGTAGTTGCCTTTCTTCTCCCACTGGCTGCCTTTCCTGTTCCTCAATCCATCGATGGACCACTTGCCGCCACCCAGCTCAGAGAGCATCAGGAATCCACCGATTTTGCTGAAGAGCAAAGAGAAGTACTGTATCGAGAGGAGCCTATCGTTCCAGCCCCACAGCATGCTCCAATGGTTGCTGAACACATCGTGGTATAGCAAGGCTATTACCGTCAGATAGGCAAACAGTTTGCATTGAAAGCCCGCGATTATGAAGAACCAAAGAACCTTTGACGAGATGCTGAAAAAAGTCTGATGAAAAATGATTAACCCTCTAGGGGTCTACTCGTAAGTACTTGAAAAAGTTCAACTTACGTCCAAACCCTCGTCCAACCACATTATAAACAAACTGGACAAGCAAACTCTTCCTCCTAGCAGTAATAACTGATACTTCCACTTAGCCATCTGTGGCCATTCCTTTTGATCTCTCATCTCGATTTTGGCAGCCATCAGCATTAACAGGGACCCAACATCCAAGCTGTCGTTGAAGAGGAAATAGAAGAAGACCGTCCATATTGAGAAGAACAGTCGGTGGACTACTCTTCCCATGAGCAACAGGGTCACTCCACTGGCTTCCTTTCGTGAGCCGAGGATCAGGACCATGGCTCCAGTGGTCAGCAATACATCAAAGATCGTATAGAAGTGCCCAAATACCTCGTTAACGTCCATAATAATAGCCCGCTCCCTGCCCACCAGTGGGGTGTTGACCAGTGAGTAAAAAACCTCCATAAAGTAATAAGACATTACGAAATGTGGCATGAACTTTAGGACACGGAGCCTGATCTCCCGTTTGAGATGGTTTATTACTTGCATAACCATGTTTAATTCGCTTAAAGATTTCAATTTGGAAAGATCAAGTTAGCGATAAAGTCACAAATCAACTTTTTATGAGCAGCACGCTTTGTTGTCTTTAGATTTTGCCTTTCAAAACTAAAGTTTTGTTTTCAAAATGTGGAAGTCTTCTTATCCTTTCCTAGACCATCTTCATCTTCACCTTCACCCAATCTCCCATCCTCTAATTAGTTCATCATCGGTAAGCCCCAAACATCCCGGGGCATTGCAGGAGGCATTATGTTTGCGTCTTTAAGCCCTCCTAAGGGACTCCTTATAATGTGATGAGACGCGAACATTCAAATCAATGCCGCGCCTAAATGTCCGTAATTGTTGCGGATGCCGTGGGCAAACCGCAGGCGTGGATTAGCTGATTGCCGACAAGAAGGCAGTGGGTCATCTCTTCCTCGCCTTACACATTCCTATAATAGTTCTATCCAGAAATTCCCTTTTCCACAGCCTAATGATTATGGAAGGCATTTGAGTTGCAGCCTAACCATAGAATGCAGATGCTTTTGGTTTGTTATTAATATTCAATATTAAAGAGACTTAGAATATCTAAAGACAAGCAAGTTAGTCACACTCTGTAACATTTTAATTTGTTAGTCATAATCCGACTGCGCCAGCCCACACAACTTATAAAGTTTGTTTTGCTCTCTGATAGACACCTCCAGCTGCCTTGGAAGAGTAAAGGTCCTGCAAAGTGACTGGATTCCATGCTGATGCCAATGACTGTCAACAACTTGTGACACTTTGCAATTTATCTGCTTACACAGCAGAAATTAATGCCACAAGTGGAAAACATTGAAGCTGTTTCAAGGTAATGAGCAGTTGGGCTGCGAATGGAAAGTGTAAAGGAGGAAAATGGAAAAATCAATCCTTGTTGTTGACATTTTCTTTTGAACAGAAGAAAGCTACTTACTGAAAATCAACCCAAGGTTCTGGCAAAGAACATAGACATACAAAGACCACTGGTTATGCCATTCTTATGGACAATAAAGTCGAAAAACAGTTGGCTAAGAGAACAACAATGACGAAACATGTAAACAAGATTATAACCCTTAGTGTTGACCTAGAAATATTCATTATTTTCATTCTGACAACTTGATCAGAGTGAAACTATATCTTAGAGCCCTAATTACTACCAAGATGGCAGTGAAAATAATGACAATACCCATTGGCCTTGCCTTGGTCTTGGATTTGCAAAGCAATCTTTGCCACTATCCCTTCGAAATAAATGAGCCGGAGAAATAAGTTGGCAACCAACCATTACAAGTTCCCATGCCTGTGGAAAGTTTATTAATTGAGCCTATAAGTTGCCTTCTTCTTCTGAGCTGGCAAAGACGTGATGAACATTTTCCAAAGCCATTTTAAACAAGCCACTGGCATCGAGTTGATGTACAAATTTGTGTATTCTTCACTAAAGATTGAAAAATATATTAATAAGAAGGAAAGCTCTGGCCAAGTTATCCTATATCCTCTATACTTCTTCCGAAGAGTCTTTTCAATATTATACTAGCCATGTTAAGAACGTTTTTTACATATTTAATGCTTAGAATGATTGCATTTTGTTTTTCTCTCCTGAAGGTGGTTAACCACTCTGTTATATTTGTTTAACTTTCATAGACCTCCCTTGAAAAAAATCCCTAAAAGAGCATTTCAAACTGTGGCTTTGCGGTGTTTGCTCAAACATTTTGCTGGGCAATCAAATCAGCAATAGGACCTTGGGGCGTGAGAAGACTGAAGGATAAGCCAAGCAGATGGGGGCGTGGCAGCCGGCGGAAGCGGGGCGGCCACAGTTCGTTGATTTTGTTACAAATAATTTAAATCTATGTCAACATTTGGAACGCAACGCGATAATAATTCATTTTTGCTTCTCGCCGCAGCTTCGTGACAGCTAATCACTAGAGAGAGATGGCCACACGCAGACAGATAGAGAGAGAGAGATAGAGATATATACAGTGACTGACGGACGGAAGGCAAATAAAAATGGACAAAGTGACAGCCATTTTGAAAAATGGCGTCATGGCTGCCCGATTTCCGGCGGCGAATGAGTTTTCCCTATTGACTTCGCCATCGCCGCTTTGTGTGCTAATTTAACGACACTTTTTTTTTTTTTTGGTTTTTGATTTGGTGGTTAAATTAAAAACAAACATAAAACCAATAGGTCTGGTCGAAAATGTAGTCTTTATCAGAGGGAACATAAATTTAATATAATTTGCCATCGTGATTATTGTGGCTGTGCACATGCGCGGCGCCATCAACGGCAATTGTTTATTTGTGCCGATAAAATCGTTTTAATTTCATTAGTTTCCTCTTTATTGTGAGTTTTGTGGTGGCCGAATTCCTCGTCAAGTCGTTTGCATACATTTAACCCCCATTTAAAAAACAGTCGCATTGTTCTCTCTTTATCTGTGACAAATGTCAGACATACGATTTTATCTTTTATTTAACTGTTCAATTGTTATGAATTCAATTAATAATGAAAATTATAAACGGTTGTTATGGTTTGAAAAAATGCATTCCTGATTGGCCGTGTAAAACATGCTTTTTACAGATACTTGCCAGTCTGATTTAATTATGAAAACACACTCAATAATGAACATTATAAATTTCTGAACACTAGTAAGAGTTGTAAACTCATTTTTATTTTTTAAAAAGTATTCTAATTGGCGGTTTTTATAATACATAATTATTTTTATTAAAACTCACTTAACTACGGCTATTAATTGCTTTTTTCGATTAAAAATTTATGCTAATATACTTCTCATTTAACTAACCAGAAGTTGAAGCCACCTTCTTCTCCTCCTGACAACCTTTCACATGTCCAAAAGGACAATGACCGACTAGAGCTTCCTGTTGGAAAGTTATCTTAAAACCTTCGGGGTCTGTCCATAAAGCGAACAATGCAGCCCATGAAGACCCAAATAACAGCAAGAAAATCTATTATACTCAGGAGCACATGCATATCTAAAGAGCATCCTTAGAAAGTTATAATGAATGGAAATAATGGCGCCGCAGGTGAGCAATCCAACGCCATATTTGTTTTTTCTTACTCAGATTTTTTACTCCTTTCCCTGTTTTATATTCGAATTTTGCATTGTTTCTTTTTGTTTTAAGACAATGGTAAAAACATCCTCTGGCTTTTAGTTTTTGCGTCTCTCGATTCCTGTCAGCATATCAAAATCAGTGGCGAACGAGATTGCACCTGACAGCGCAGCTGGAATAAGGATCGTAAAAAACATTTCAATTAAAACATTGGGCATTATCTTTAATATAAACTTGTCATTTCATGAATTCACTAGCCAAATAAGTTTGTTTTTCCATAATATTTCTGTAAATTCCAAGAAATTTTTATTGAATGTTATTGTTAAATATTAAAGATAAAAGACTAAAAAAAATTCTGATTAGACCACAAAAAGTGTGTCGTATAGGATAATGAGCTTAGATTTGGGATTGAAAAAATTGCCAGTCAGCCGAAGTTTGTCAGCGCTGAAAATCAGCTTAAGGCGTGCATGGTATTTGAATATATATGCATAATTTGAGGGCTCCCCTTTCGGGTTCAGAATGGCTTTAAGATGGAAATGCCGCAACCGCATTTGACTAAGAAGTGGAAAAGCCCATGGGATTGGTATAACAAAATGAAAATAATAACAATAAGAAGTGCAAAATTGTCACAGACTAAGCTTCTGCTTATTATGATTGCATTAAATATAATATATTATAAATATATAAGTTAACACACGCAGTTCCCAAGTTGGGAAACTGCCAAGTTGCGGGTCACATCCGGTGGCCAACACACGGAATAGGGAAACCGCCGACTCTGCACTCCGGGGACAATCAACCGGAGCCCGGCCAGAAGTGGATATCATGCGCAATGAAGAAACCGCCGACTCTGCACTCTGGGGGCTATCACCCCGAGCCCGATCAGAAGTGGCCAACACGCGCAATAAGGTAATCGTCGACTCCGCACTCTAGAGACAACCCTGGCCAGAACACTCGCGCAGCGAGTGATCGTCAGCAACTGGATAAAAATGCTGATCCGGCACTTTAGCGACAGCGCAGCGACCGGACGAAGACTTCTAGTTGCAGCCGGATCGGACCTTTAGTTCAGTCTAAGATCGTACTCCGCAGCCATAGCTGTGTTACAAATAATTATTGTAAAACCATTTATGCTATCCTTTACCTTAACAGGTTTAGGTGAAATACGAGGTGTGTTCAAAAAGTAAGGTGACTCTTCAAATTTCGCGAATTTCAAATTTTTCGATTATCGAAACCTTTTAGAAGTTATACGAGGTGTGTTCAAAAAGTAAGGTGACTTTTCAAATTTCAAATTTTTCAAATTTTTCGATTATCTTCAGTTTTGGGAACAAGAAAAAGTCACATGGGGCCAAATCCGGTGAATATGGTGGCTGAGGCATTATTGTGGTGTTGTTTTTGGCCAAAAAATCCAAATCCTTTGATCCATATTTTTCGATAGCAAAAAATCGCCGAGCTCGCAAAACAACTTGTAACTTTACGCCTCTCACAACCAAACAAAAGAGGATGTTCCATTGAAACTTGGTACAGATGTTAGGGAAGAGTGTACCAATATAACAAAACAAAAAAATCGATAATCGAAAAATTTGAAATTCGCGAAATTTGAAGAGTCACCTTACTTTTTGAACACACCTCGTATATGAAAAAACCTAATAAGCCCAATCTGTTATCAATGGATCCTTGCCCCAACGGGCTTGAGTGAAAGTAAGAAATAATAGAACAAAAGGTCATTAAAATTAACTTATACATTAAGACGTAACATAATTTAGGGCGTAAAAAATCTGTTTTTTCCCATAGCACAGGCAAAAATGGTCCAAATGGGGAATGTAATACCTCGCAGGGCTCGTAGTTTGATTGCTATGATTCCCAATTGATTTCCATTCAAATCTGGGAGACTTCATTTTTGGTCCATTTTTTGAAAATTTTGATCAAAAATGCGAAATTTTAGCCAAAATTGATTTTCCCAAAATCGAGAAACGAGTAATAGGGATGCTAAGTGTTGGTAATTAGCAGCACAAAACAGTCGTTATTTTGGCTATGCGTCTTGTTTTGACCGAGCTAGAGCTAAAAAACCGAACATAGTATTGCAAAGTTCTGTTAAATTAGGTTTCCTGATTTCTCAGTCATTAAATCAGAGCTCGCACCGAAAAATCAGAGCAAAAATGATAAAGGAAAGTAAAGGAACCTTTAGTTTCGGTAGTTAGCTGCATAAAACAGTCATTGTTTTAGCCATGTGGCTTATTGGACAAAGTTAGAGCTAAGAAACGACATCAAAGCCGGTCGACGTCGAAGCCGAAGACGTAACATACTTCTGGGCAGCAAAAAAATCAGTTTTTTGGCCATAGCACAGCCAAAAATGATCCAAATGACGAATGTAATACCTCGCAGGGCTCGTAGTTTGATTGCTATGATTCCCAATTGATTTGCATTCCAATCTGGGAAACTTAAATTTTGGCCCTTTTTTTGAAAATTTTGTTGAAATTTTTTTATTCATAAATGCAAAATTTGGGCGAAAATTAATTTTCCCAAAATCGAATAACGAGTGATAGGGGTAGTAAGTATTGGTCATTAGGCGCACAAAACAGTTGTTATTTTGGCTGTGCGTCTCGTTTTGGCCGAGCTAGAGCTGAAAAACCGGAAATAATATTCCAAATTTTTGTCAAAAATTGGTTTTTAGGTTTTTTAGCCATTAATTCAGCCCTCGCACTAACAAAATCAGAACAAAAATGTTAAAAGTAACGATAGGGGTCTTAAGTTTTGGTAGTCAGCTGCATGAAACAGTCATTGTTTTAGCCTTGCATTTTCTTTTGGCAAAATTACAGCTAAGAAACTGCAAAAATCACGGTTCTCTGCTGTCGAATTTGTATATAGCACTTAAAATTATAGTATCAAAATGAGTCAAAATTTAATTCAACTTTTCGATAGGAAAAACCTCGGTCGTTAACCTTGGCCAAATCAATTAAGTGTGCAATTTTGAATTGTCGTGAGTGTTATGAATATTCACGAACCGAGCGCCGCAGAATTAATATTTAAATAGTTAGAATATAAATGCGTCCCAAAGCTAGTGACGCCAGGTCCTCCAGCCGCTAATGGACTTTCGCCGGAGAGCAGGAGTGGGTTTGCACCAAACCTGAAAGTATTCAGCCGGAAAGAGTTTGCTAGAGGGATGTATATACACATTCCTACCATGTCCCTGGTCCTCGTCTAAATTAACAAATGAATTATTTAGTGCCAACACTTGTGTGGGCCATGTTTGGATTAGAGCGATGTGAATTAGGTGCGAATGACCAGGCGGGGATTACCCTAAATGCGAAACGGTGTAATTTGCTTAAAAGCAGTGGCCCTCGTTGCCCCAGCTCTTTAATGTGGTGTTCTCTTTAGTTGGAAAACTCTTTAAGATGGAAAAAGTATTCAAATTGAAGGCTTGCTAATAATAGTTAACTTTTAATTTGTTTGTCTATAAATTTACTTCAGAGTAAGTCCAATTTTAAAAACATTTGAAAAGGATAGGGTCAGCAAGGTTATGCGTCTATGCCAGAAGGTTCTTTAAGATCCTGGTTCCTTTTTTATTTCCCAAAATAACTACGACAGCAGTATTTTGTTTTGGTGGCACCTGTCCTAGAGTATGATATCCTTAGAGCAGCTGTTGCAGAGCCAAGACACTCCAGTTTCGACTCTGATTTTGTATGCTAAACGCGTCAACAAGACAGCTCTACATACTGCAATGCAGTGAAACATTCGGTCGAAATGGTAACAGAAATTTAGAAATTCAGTTCAGTGTTAAAAGAAAGCAGCTTAGTTATGAAAAGGAAATAATTGCAGTCATGCCAGCAATTGCGATCAGCATGAAAATGGCTATAACACTTCCAGCGAGCATCTAGAACGACGGATAAGCTGTCAATTTTGAATTTTAACTTCAAGTACTTACAAATTGGAATGGCCTGATATTGCCCCATCCTGCTATAATAGTGTTCGAAGGGGTACTAATGGGCAGCAGAAACTGGTTGTGCAAGGCGGTGGCCAAAGGTAGGGAAAAAGTAGATCCCTGTAATGAAATAACAAATTAGGAATAATATTTTAATTAATTAAAGCGGATTAAGAAGAATCTGTAAGTAGCAATGGATTAGGATGACACAGTATCCAATTATACCTTCAACTTTATATTATAAATCTTTGGGATTTCCCTTTTAACAGGATTTCTTACCCCTTTCATAAGTGTAGGAAGTGAGAGCCTGCAAACGGCAGTTGCCGGAGATAGCATGGTGAGAAGGGTACCGTACAAGGCACCGCTGATGAACTTGAAGGTGCCAGAACCTTCACCGGTATGCTCCTTCATGGAATCTGCCACATAGGCGTTTAAGCCGCTAGCCTGGGAACAGAAGGCAGCAGCGAAGCCGGCGCCCAGCATAAAGATTTCGCCCCAGGGAGTGTTGTTGTTTACCGCCTTCCAACTGACCAGCGAATTGGCAGTGCCCTCCTTGACCGGCTGTCGGCAGACATAATACTTGCAGAAATAATAGTTGGCCGGAATCGCAAAGAACAGTATGGCCATGCCAATGGACGGCACCGAGAGACCAGACTCAATGCTGTTATCTAAATCATCCCAGCCCATGTAGATAATCGGTTTTCGTGTGGCAGCCAGAAAACATGCAATAATGATCAGGATTAAGGCCAATATGGGATATATTGTCCAGGGTCCCAAAGCCAGTTTTCTTTCGGCAATGGTAGCCTTAAAATTGTTCTGATTCCCATCCAGCTCGGCCAGGTCACGTTTCACACTGCCACCAAAAAGTCCGAGAAAGAGCACTTGGATCCAAAAAATCATAACAACAATACCCAATATGGCCGGTCCCGCCATTATCATCAAAAGCTTTCCAATGGGAAGATCTCTGGAATGAAATGAAATCCGAAATTTTCGGAGATCCGCAAGGGAAGTGTCATAGTGACTCATAATTACCCCTCAAAGCTCGAGGATATAACACCGTTGGGATTCACGAAGGGAGAAAGGCAGCCTGCCAGGGTGGCAGAATAGCAACAGGTTATGTAAATTCCGATCACGGGACGCGTGGGATATGGCTTTCTAAGGATCGATTTAACAGTTTATTTTAAGTACTTTCTTTTTTGAAAAATCTTAGACTTACGATCCAACCTCGTAGCGTTTTTCCTCAGAGTTCATTTTCACAACGCCAGCCTGAAAGGGATAAGGATTTGGACAACTTATTACATATTATAGCCATAGACCTTACATTATCGTATTCTGTTATCACAGCTTGGGCCACCTTCATCCAAATGGCAGCGGCTATTGTGGGATTTATAAGGGCAGTCATAATGATAACACTGATCGCTAGAAAAATCTGAAGTCTGCAATAGTAATACCTATAGTTAGCCGCTGTTTCGCTGTTTCGCTGTTTTAAAACTTACAATTTCAGACTGCTGCCAACAAAGGCAATGACTCGCATAGCCAGACGCTCACTCAACCTGGAGCTGTCCATCATTATGCCCAACATCACGGAACCATACACCAAAAATATCAGATCCGTATAGTAGGAGATGCTAACGTGCTTGGAACCGGCTATGCCCAACACTGGAATAAATGTGATATAGATAAAGGCCACAGCTCCTCTGGCCATCAAATTGAGTATGTAATACAGTAATAAACATAAAGATATATACATGAAGCGGTAAATCTGCAAGAGGGAAAATTAATTCAATATCCGAGACCACAACAACAGTCTCACCATAATGGGATGTCCCAAAAACATTGGTCCAAGTAGTATTGGAATGACCACAATGAGAACACCTTTGTAGTGATATTTGCAGAACAATCTACGATCATCTTGCTCCTCTAAAGGAATATCTCCTGGCTTGTAATCTTGTGTACTGGCAAGAAGAAATATATATCTTGAGATCAGTTTTTATGAATATACTCACGCTGCCATATTTTGCAGTTATTTATTTTCTCTCAGAAGTTTAGTTTTGTTTTGGGAAGTTTTGATGCTTGACACTAGAGTGGTTGCTATACTAATATATTTAAAAGTAACTCAAATCATATTGTCATTCATGCTTAGGATATATTCTGACTCAGAATATTAACATAAAAATATTATTAAATTTCCTTTAGAGCTTAAGAATTATTTAGGTAATAGTTGGAATTTTTATTGGTAAAGTTTCTCTTCTAATGGCCAAGTTAACTCACGTAGTAGGTCAAGATTTGTTCACTGGCTGAAAACTGCAAGGCGTACAGCAGCAGGGAATTTGGCCAATAAAAACTTTGGTCGGCAGTGCGATGGTAACCAAGACGGCAGACACAGAGACGCACTGCATTGTGGGTCGATGATTCTGTAGTTGATGGCTGCGGCGATGGCAATGGCGATGGCAACTTTTGTGTGGAAACTCGTGGCGTGTAACAACGCGTGGTCGCCGGCAATTTTGCGTAACTATTTGCTGTTCTGCTTCGTTAGCGTTTGAGTAGAAAGTAACCGAGTCCTTTCACAATGAAAACTGTTTAAAGTTGCCAGTTGGATCAGACGCGGATGTCAGTGCAGATAATGTTGAATCAAATATTTGCAGGTTTTTATCTGTGCTAATAAACTATCCCAGAACTAAGTAAATGTTTCACTCTTTTTACTTAAAATCGAAGAAATGGTAAATTCTGTAATATTAGAACCCATGTGAAATGATATGCTTTGCAGAAATAGATGGCTAAAACGTGGATACACCTTTGTAGTACACAAAATCCGCATACTTTCGCCGGGTATTAAATTCACATATTTCCCACCTCCTCCCACAAAACCACTCATAACGGGTTGTTCTTGAGGGCGACAACATTCCGTTACTGGTTTTCAGATTGACACTAGGTATTTTGGCGTTTTAGTGACGATGGCAACCAGGCGAAGCACTAGACTAACTGGCCAAACAGGCAACACAAAAACGGCAAAAGGAAGAGCGGAAGTTGATTGACTCCTTTGGACACTTTTTCCATACGGAAGGTTGATAAACAAAAATGGCCGACAACACTCTTTCAGCTTCATCCATCGGCTATTGTTGTTATTTGCCAGAGGCGTCCTGACAAGCCAACATGACGTGCACCCAGACACACACCCACTAAGATAACGAACCATTTCTTGATTAGGGTTAACACGAATATATGATGGATGCTTGAGTTTTATGGCAGAGAACCTAAAATCGTCTAAAAAAATCTGAGATTTGCCATTGTGTTCTTTATTTGCGTTTGCTGAAAAGTTTTCCAGGGTAAGTTACCCTCACATTGTGGGAGCACCTTAAAGTCTCTATCCAAATTCAGACCAACTTGCGACACCGTCTTCCGATGAGCACCCATCCGGACCAGCAGCGCTTTTGAATCTCGAGTAGCAATCCACCTGTCAGATCTAGCTGGTTGCTCAGAATGGTGGCACATCCAGTGTTTTGGAGGGATATCTGAAGTTGCTGCTGCTGCAGGGCCCTGCAGTAGGCCAACTTGTCTGGTTGTTCTTGAAGCTCCAGTTCGATTTGAGCCGACCAGTTGGCCGTTTGAGTGTCCTGCTGCATCAGGACCAGAGGCAGCAATATTAACAATCCAAATGCTGTTCTTGTAGGTGTATTCATGGCTACAGCTAGCTGGCAACTGAGTTAGTAATGGGCTCAGTAAGCGGTTTGTTTGTTCAGTTGGGAACTCAACTCAACCAGCTGCTTAAGATTGTCCCCGGTTTTTCGTTATTTACATAGTAACTTTGATTCGAGCAAAGGAAAATGACACATTATCATGAAAAACAGGCCATGTCTAATTTTTAGCATTATCTGTAAAAAATGTTTACCAGATGTGTGGGAATTCAGTTTCCACATTTATTTTTACATCATGACATATTTTTAATATAATCTTATTCAATATGTAATTTATTCATTTACACGGACAGTTTGGCATATTCTTTATATAACACCAAGCTACAGAGAATCTACTTAGTTTATACAAGTTAATTCTGCATTTAAACCTCTCTCTCACTTTAAGTTTTTCAGACTATTTTTTAAACTCCCCACCGATTACCAAAATAAAATCTGCCCCTTTATGGGTCTTATACAAAGCCTTTGTAATTTCGGTTAATTTGTAGCACAGTGCTCTCAACTGCTTTTACAAATTATTTCTTTCATTACCATTTTTTAGGCGGATGAAATTTTAATCAATATTTTTTCATGATCCCAAAGTGAAATGGCCTTTAATATACGTTTCGCCGTTTGCCCTTTCCATGCTTGAATTTCACCATCCAAAAAAGTTTTCGTTTGTTTTTAGCCCCCTTTCAATTGTTTGTTAGCCACTTTTTTTTCTTTGTTCGACCCTTTCATTATAGCCACCTCAATTTTTTTGGACGTCGTCATTCTTCTGGTTGAAATTGCATTCGGCGAAATGAATGCCCTCATCGGTCGTCTCTTTCGGCACTCCCCCGCGTTGCACAATCGACCTCGAATGATGCATGCAATCGAGTGTAAATTTCTCCATTTTATTATTTAATAACGTGGCTGAGGAAGTAACTTTTACGCTATCTATATGATGGTTACTGTCGGTACGAGGCTGTCATATTTACGCGCCCATTTTCCTGTTCTTTTTTATATATATTTTTGGTTCCGTGTCAGGCTATATAAACAAGTTGTCTGTGTAAATGTAAGTGCAAATTGGACAACTGAAATGGCACCTTACCGGTGAGAAGGAAAAGTTAAAAAAAGCGTTTATGGAAAACAATTTACATGTGATTTGGTCATTTTTTCTGATTTCAATTGACTTTAAATAGGAAAGAGTTAATACTTCCGTCTTAATTTCCCATCCTGGCTTGTCATAGGCCAGTCTCAGCATGAAACTCGTTCGGAATTACGCCAAGGATTAAGGTAACTTTTTGCAAAGGCCAGTATGACGGGCTTCCCGGGATCTTTTTTGCAGATTAAGTGAAGTCTGGCCGCCATTCAAAGTAAGTGCACTGTGGGCCCAGAGCGTACTTAAGCGTTTAAGTAAATTTAAAAACTTGTTAAGTCCCATAATGAAGCGATTTTCAGGACTCAGCACTAAGTGCAGGAATCCAACTTGCTACCCATCTAGCTTTTGAACATAGCGATGTTCGTAACTTTTATTAATTAGTCGTACTATTAAATCAGATGGCAGGCCAACGAGCTTAACCTTTAAGATGCCTCCGCCCCTGCTAATGATGTTTGTACAACACGGTTGAACCCTGGTAATGGGCTCATTGCCCAACCATGTGCCAAACATCGATCCTAGCCCGAAAACAACTCCATTAGAGCCAAAACAGACACAAAGGGCTGTGAAAGCCAAAGAGCCCACCTGCTGGGCTCTTGGTATATTGTTGATGTGGGTTACGGTTGAAATTAAAAAATTCTCAACAGAGAAATTCAATTATGCCTTTCATTTTTGACACTGAGGTGGCCTGAGGCCATTGTTTGCTCCATTTAAATGAAAGCCATGGTAAAATCTGCGTAAAAATGTACAAACAGAATTTTTGGTGGCTGTGGACTCGATTTGGACCAAGAATTAATTATATATTTTGAATTAAAATTACTGTGAAAGCTGACTGAAGAACCTAAGCTGACTAAATCCCTCAATTTAATCCCATTCGAACTTATTTTAATATTTGTATTTAACTTCAGTGGAGCAAAAATAGTGGCAAAGCTAATGATGCACCATAATTACTCCCTGGAAATTACTGCAATTATTTCCGTGGGAAGCGAGGAACTTGCAGCCTGCCCCAGTAATAATCGCAGCCACTATCCACTGGCAGAGGCTATGGCAGTGGCAGTGGCAGTCACATACACACACATGCATATGTCTAATGCCCCATAAATCTTCATTCATTCGCTTCATCATGCAGCAGCAGCCACAGGGCTGCACGACAATGTGCGCGTCATCAACATCATCGTCGATGTCGACTTATCCGCATCTTGCCGTACATTTGTTTCTCTTTCGCCCATTGTGCACCCAGAGGAGGCGTCATTTATCATTTGAGTAGTCTCCTAGTTGTCATATTTCCACTGCAGCTGGTTGCAGCTGTGGGGTGCGGCGATGATTTTTCACTTCCCATCGACAAAAGTTCCTGACAGTCAATCGCCTCAAATGAATGAAGGACCAAAGACTGATAGCCATCAAGCATTAAAGCCATGGCTGGCATGTACTTACGTATATGGATATTCATTGGGCATCATTATGGCACCCCCTTACCTCATACATTGTCGAATCTTAATTTCCGCCGGAAATAATTCCATTTAAAAAGTACACTTTTGAGCCCCAGCTCCATGACTTCCATACATAATAATAATAAAAAAGGAAATGAGCTCGAAAACAACATCCTCATAATGATAGCCATTGTTAAACGTGAAAATGTCAACACCAGCCTGGAGTCCCATAATGCAGTTTGAGCATTAAACAGGACAATTCGCTTATGACAATAATTAGTTTGTCCTCCCATATTCAGCTTCCTTTGTGCGGATTCAATACCATATTGTTGGGAGAAAGGAGCTTGAAATAATAGGGGTCCTTAAACTGAATTATGATTCGATTTTTTAAAGGAACACAAGAGCTTAAGAGTAGCTTATGGTCTGGTCATCACTCTATATCAAAATACCAAATGTCTAATAAGGGAGACATGGCGACCCAACAGTACACACATATTAATCATTTTTACACATTCCTCCCTTCGCAACCCTACTTATAGTAAACGAATATTGTGTACAATATGTTTTATTTAAGTGAATATTAAATGCCCTGAAATCGACCAGTCCACTTAAGGGCTCAACACCCTTTTGCTCTGTTTGCCGAAACATATTTAATTTTCTGTGCGGGTCCACTCGCTTTAACAAATTTATTTACCAAGGTGCGTGGCCTAAAACGCCCACAAGCTGGTAAATATAGACAGGCCAAAGGCAAACAAGTGGGCATATCCATATGTAAGTACGTAAATAGGTATTTTTATGTATTTGGCCATGTATGAATGCTGACCCAGTCGCTGCAAGGGGCCAAACAGAAGTAAAAACAGCTAAAAAAGCTGTAGGCCATGCAATACCTACTATTTTTAGAAAAAGAAAGGTCAAGTTTCCACTTTTTGGCAAATATTAACAAAATATTATTATTACAAAAACTAAAACTAATATATTTTAAGGTGTTTTATTTGATATTAAAACCTGAAAGCTGCTAACCTCTACCAACTCTTTAGCCATCAAGTCCGCAATTTGTTTCTGAGCTCACGAACAGATCTCCAAGGTTTGGCCTTTAAGTTTGTATGTATTTTTGGCCTTGCTGGCGATGTGTTTACCCTTTTTAGCATGAGTTGCTCTTTTTCAGTGGCTGAATGTGTAAATTTATAATTAAACGCCAACACTTTTTTTCCAAGCAGATATCCCAAAAACTTGGACTTTCGGTCCAGGCCCAAACTCCAGGCGATGCCTTCTGTTTCCGCCTTCGTTTTCAATTTACGTTAACATTGTGTGTGTTCTGGCCATTCCGGCATTGTGTCCCTTTTTGCTTTGAAATCTTTCGTGTAAGCACTTAATTAGTGGTAAAAGTTAAACAGAAACCGGCGCAAACATGCCACACAGAGGGAAAAGTACAAGAACAAGAACAATAACAGCAACTGGGTTGTTAGTCCCATCCCGCAAATGGGATGAATTTATTTCATTGGACGCAGATTAGATTAAATCGTACAGGCTTTTGCATTTTGGCCCGTCGAAGGTAGGCCAAGTAAATGTGGGAAAGGGTGCTTTTCCCACCCACCACCTCTGTGGTTTTCCGGGGCAAGTGCCAACGTCAGTGGTTTTCCCAGCCCACAATTATTTATGTGATAGTGTGGGCCATTTGGAAAGACACTGCTACTGCTGCTGCTGCTCCTATACGGGGGTCAGCAAACATTATTGTTAATAGATGCCAGTTTTTTGGCATGTAATTTATTTTTATCATGTTAATAATGCTTTTTAATAAGTGCCTTGTTATGCAAAATTTCCTGGCTTACACAATACACATTTATGGCTCAGATGCATGCTTAGAGATGGTGGACTGTGGGCTTAGTTAGTGCATTTCATGGGGATATATGTGATTGTATTTATTAAATATTATAATTATTTATTTATAATGTGTAGTAGGACAAGTACCCACTGTACAACTTTTAGCATAAATTATATGAATAAGACCCACTGTAAGATAAAATAAGAAACAACTTAACTGTAAATATTGTCCTGGTACACTGTTATCTCTTTCTATCATGTACGTTAGCTTTAAGAGATCGCTCCGTATGTACATCCATCTCGCTCACGTACAAGCGAGTAAATGAATGAACAAGAACTGTAAAGGGACTTGGTTTTTGACTTTCGAGAGAAAGAGTTGTGAAAATAAAGAAAAGACATAAAACCCAAAATCTAAAAAGAAGTTTGTTTTCATATTATTACAAATGAAATCTTAGAGAAACTGAAATGACTTTGCCTTTACTTTGAATTACCACTTTTTTTCCTGTTACTTCTTTTTTAGTCCCACTGTACCGCCCTTAACCAGAACCCGTACAATGTAATGATTTGTATCTGAGACCCATTTGCACGCATGCAGCAGGGTCACAGAAACTCAGAGATGAATATTCCTGGGGCACGATTCGCTGGCCGACTAAAATTATGCTTAAAAGTGACTTATAGGAGTATACAACTCCCTTGCCACCTACTATTTGCTTGCGGTGCTTAATTAACTTTCGCACTGTAATTGCACAGAAAACTTTAAAACGATAAAACTTTTTATGAGCTGCCGTTTTTGCCCGTTTGACTTTTGTCTGCCAAAATTACAATACGAAAATTTAGTTTTGCATACCGTCGAATACAATTAAAGTTGAGAAAACGCCCGCACATAAAGCCAGGGATGGCTGGATGGCTGGCTGGCTGGCTCTTTTACTACCCATCATTGCTGACGTTCCGAATTGCATAAATGTTTGCCTTTGATGATGATGGCAGCAGGGCAAAAAACCAGGTGCAAGGAGCAGGGAGCAGGGATCCGAGCCCGACGGGCAGACAGGTGACGAGTTGGACTTCTTTTTTTCCGCTCCTTTCGCTCCTGTCTCGTTTATTGCGGCCCTGCGGTTGTTTCTCGGCAAGTAAACAACAATGGCTGTGGAGAATCGACCGGACTCCATGTTGAGCTGGGAAACTTTGTGACTTTCCGTGCTAATGGTTCAATTTATTTACCAGAGTTACCTCGACAGTTTACAAAATATGACTACGACGACAAGAGCAATGACAAGAATCCAAGTTGCCATGAAACAATTTTCTGATTTTAATTGCAGTCGCTCACGGACTGCCAAGCTAAATTAACTGCAAACTTTATTTGGCTTTCATTTTAAGTTATCTTTCAAAACTAAGTACCCCGAAAGTGGCAGTCATAAAAGGAAACCAATTTTGGATAGTAAATAGGTTTTTCGGCAGATGAACAATATAAATGCTTACCTTAATTCCATTAGCACTTGCATTATTTCCGTCCAGTCGGATTTTAATAAAACTCCGCTGGCTCATTTAAATTCGAGATAATTACGTTAAGTGCACGATTTGTCAGTGTCCTAAACCGGTTTTCAAATTACCAGCAAAGTCAGCTGAAACATGTATCAATCAGTGCGAGTTGCGTTCGCACGGAAAATATTTGCACACAATTAAGTGAAGGGCCGGCGAGCGTGTGCGGATAATTTATGATTTCATTTAAGCGACTCAACTGCGTGTAATTATGCGGACTCACACGGCCCAGGACACACACATCTGTGTATATGTGTGCGTACTGTGTGCATGTGAATGTGCGGTAACTGATAATCGCGCATACGCCCCGTGTGGCTGGCTCGGCAAATTAGAAAGCGTAACGTATTGTTGTTGACCAACGCGACCCCAAAAACCCTAGCACCCTTAAAGCGCCGTTTGTTAGCCTTTTTTTCAGCCGCCAGGAATGGCAGTCAAGTGAGGTCAAAGTTTGGAATTAAGTATACGCCGTGTTGTACCTGGACAAGCTGCGTCTGGGAATTGATGACGCGTGGCGGTGGCTTATCGAGATCCGCTTAATTCGAAATTCGTTGATTAGACTTTCCGTGTTTTCATGTCAAGGCACGAATTAATCGAAATTAAATTAAGCCCAGGCGCATTATCGAGGATTTAACGATTTAATGATTAAACAAAGGGCATTTTCAAGTAACGTTAACTTACATAATTACACATTTCTGGTGGCAGAGAAATTTAATTAATGTGCTGGAAAATCGATACATTAAACAGAAAAACATAACAGCAGAAAAACAGGTTAATGGTGGTTAAAATCAAGATTTTATTTCAACAAAATACATTTTATTATTTTCTCATTGAGAAATTCGATATATATATGGTTACAAATCGTTCATTTTGCGCACTGAATACCTATAACTAAATTGAAGTTAAATTAATTGTGGCCTTTTCATGTTTTTCTTTTTCAGATAACGCAATTTCAAACTGTTTTTTTTTTTATTACTGCTTTTCAGCGCCTGTCGCTTTAATGAGAGTTGAGTTCAATTAGTTTTCAGGTGTTTTCACAGTGACAAATATAATTAGCTAATTGCAATAACAGAAAATACCCGAATAATAATATTTGCATTCTGTAATTAACAATGCTATGCAATGCCATTATCGGGCGTAGTTTCGTTTAATATTACATTCGATAATTACTTGGGCACCATCTTTTATTTTTATTGTTACATAAATATTTATGCTAGGCATAAAAATTAGCATTAAATATAGTTATAGTTTAGTTTACTGTCTGCCAGATGGGAAACCACTTCAATCCTGGATAAATGCAGAAATTCAAAATGTCTTCAAAACATTTCAAACAATTTTCATAAACCGAACGATGAAATCTGGCCGGGTGAAGCAGTAAAATAAACTAATTATATTCCACAAAGTGTACAGTACCAGTACAGCGTTTTTCCCATCTCACATTATTTGGATTTACACAAAACATGATGCTTAACTATGAATTCAGTTTTATATACAAGATGAAATGGTTTTGGTTTTTTAAAAGTGGCAAGTACTTAATTATCATGACTCCGCCAGAGATGCCCCCAAACATCGATTCGGCTCCAAGTGGCTGGTGATTTTTGCATGCAGGTTGCAATAATTGATATGCAGAGTGGATAAATTCGAGCAGGAATGCCGGCAGATGTTACTACCGCTGTGGCAGCCACCAATAAGCCATCGTACGACAGAACTGGCCACCATGGCTAGGAGGAGGACCAGTCGACTGTTGCGACTGCTGCCACTTGTTCGGATGGCTCTGCTCTTTTGCATTGCTGCGGGGCTCTCGTCTATATAGAGTACAGGTCAGGTCGAGGTAGTACAGGACAGGGCAGGCCAGGTCGGGAAGACAAACAGAAAGTGTGGCTATATCAGATATATCGGTGGAATCTATAGCGTTCTTACCATTGATGACATTAACCACCACGCTGGCCGCTTCCGCTGTGGTCGGCATGCACGTATAGTTGCCCGTGTCCAGCAGCTGAGCATTGGCGATGCGTAATCTGGAAAACATGGAAACCAAAGCACAGTGAAGCTTAAGGCAAACGTGCAGCTTAATTGCGTCAATTTTGTCCCCTCCCCCGTTTAAATCAACTTCATCGATCAAAGCTCAGCATACCAGCCATGAAGCAACTGGAAAAACTCGCACCTGATGGCACGTTAAATCTCCTCCGGCATTCCGGCTGGGGAAACTGCTGGAAAATTCCAAACGCTTAAAAGTTTAAGGACGAAACGTTTCATCGAATCGTTATTTAAACGGACTGAATATATGCTGAGCTTCTACTCAATCTGATTAAAAGTGAATTTTGTAATAAGATTAAAGTAATGTAAAGTACAAAATTGAAAAAAAAAAAAAGTGAAAAATCTTAATAGCTTTTACTGAAGATACATAAATGGTTAATAATATTTCAGATTTTCTTATTTTTTCCCCAGTGTAAATATTCAATTCATTATTGTTCGCCCCCCAAATGCTTACCTGCTCTGCAGCTTCTCTGACAACGTGGACTCCATGGAGATGCGCTGCAAATCGATGGCCGCGTCATTCGGATGGGCCACGAAGGGTGTCAGTATGTAGGGGCCACGATACCAGTAAATTGGCCCAATATCCTGGGCCGAAGTGGCCGGTTGCTTTACGAGGCATGTGAGTATAACGCTGCTGCCCACTTTGACGTACAAGTCCGTCGGCCCGGCAATAATCGCCTTGGCATCTGGCTGCGTGGCTGCGATTCACCGTAGAGCGGATAGAAACGGGGACGAAATTGATTAATAGCATTTCTAGGCGCTCCAACACCCTCCAGGCCCCAATTATGAGGTCGGCTGCTCTGTGGGAACTGCATCTAATCATGCGTCCTGCAAACGCAGATTTCAATGGCCCTCAATTGATTGGGTTGAGGAGGGTTGGGGTAGGTTTGGGTTTCGTTGTACTGGCTTAGGTTGAAATGAATTTCAGGTTAGGGTACATGGAAACCAACATCAGTTGTGGCGGAGCAACATGCTCGCCCGGAATACCTTGAAGGTACAAAAGCTGGAGCCCAGATTTCGACTGATTATGAGCAGCAGCTTTGTAAACTATTTAATTTAGTTGGAAGCCTATTTTAATTATCTAGTTCTGAATTTAGGATATGCTTTAGGAGGTGGCTAATGTAAATTATTAACAATAGGTACAGGAGTAACATGTTCAGTTTACAGTACGCACATGGATTGTGAATTCGAGAAGGTAAAATATAAACGTTTTTTTTTAATCCCCAAAAAGCAATATTTAAACAGCAGACTGTTTGTTAATCCCACAAAATCGAACTCCAATAACCAATATTTTAAACATTTTTTTTCCCATTACCGAACGTGGAAGTTGTAAATAATGTCGAATCAAATTTTCATTCTTTGTTGGGCAACAAATTTTATAGTTTTTTCCTTAGTATCAAACGCTTTTCTCTCAAAAAGACCAAAATTAATGAAAAAACTAACACATAAAAATTTGTTGGGTTTTTTGATGGCCTTGGCTTTTGGGGAAACTTGCCCCGCCCCGCCCCGACTGCCCACGCCCTTGCGGCCATATCATTGACCCATTGTTTGTCGATGAAGCTGTTGGTTTTGGCTGGTGGTCTCGCATTTTACACACATTTTAAGTGTTGTTAGCCGGTTGTTATTGTAAGCCAGCCGTTGGGCCGTTTGGCCGATGTATTAGGAGCCTCGGATGCGGACGTGCCATTAAATGTTGTTCCCGCACATGTATATGTTTGTACGTGTGGCTTTTCTAATATTGGTGCTGGCGGTGGCTTTTAGAGGGCGGGGGATGGGGATAAGCTAGGCAGCTGCCGCAGACAGAGACAAATGTGTGTGTGTGAGTGTGGGGGGAGGAGCAAATCCTGCAGCCTCCTCCGGTTACCACTACTAGAAACACTACCACTTCCACGTTATAGGCACTGAAAATTGGTTTAATGTTTTTTCCGTGCGTCGACCGACCGTTTTTGGCCAACACAGCAGGCAGTCAACAAAGTCAAATGTTGACGTTGTTAATGATGTGCGGGGAGTGGAGCAGAAAGCTTGGGACTCCTTTACATGGCTGGACCAGGATGGTGGGTGAGCCAGTGGGGCATGAAAGCGGATTTGGTAGCACCCAAACATCGAACCAGACCAAGCACACACTGCAGTGGTTTCGAAGGCAAGAGAGCGATTCAGTTAGTTAGTTAACTTGGCATTAGTGTATGCCATTGGCACTCTTGTAGATAGCGTCTTAAATGCCATTGACTTTCACCAGCTCCGAGATTGGAAAAACGGAGAATAAACACGCTCAAATGTTTACTATTTTGTACAAGGGTCGATGGGGGATTGGTAAATAAATCCTTTCGTAGTGGAAGCTTTAAAATTTAATACAACTTTCTGAACTGGTAAAGTAAAAAACATTTATGGACTGCGAAGGTTAAAAACTGATATATCACCATTATGATCATAACAAATCCACTGTAATATTTCTAAAAATCTAATAAATTTCATCGGGAACAAATTTGGTCTGCTTCCTGCATAAATCAGTTTAAAAATATTTCCTTTGGCTCTCCACGTGATTCGCGTGACGACAGCGTAAATATTTTTATCACGACTTCATCACAGTCGAGAGCTTCTGGCTGTGCAAATCATTAGCATAAATTCCTTAACTTGGCAGTGCCGGTCGCTTGAATTTTGCCATTTCCCAGGACACAACATGGATGTCAGCTTCCTGTCGCCGCTGAACTCCGCTCTCCGAAAGGAGAGCAGCCAAGGATTACTACATCCGCAGTGCAGTTCCCGGGCGGGCAGGATGTTTTCCACCGCCAGTTTGCCAGGTTGCAGGCGAGCAACTGCGGAAGCTGGATGGAACGCTGATATGACTTGGGCTTTTGATGAGATTTACACCCTTTGACTACGGTTCGTTATAAACTGGAGTCATGCAGCTTGCCGGTGGCAGGCAATTTGTTGCCAACAGAGTTTTATCCCCCATCAGCGAGGGGTTACTTTTAAGATAGATTTTCAACTGCTGCTTAAATTAGTTAAATGATGATTCATTTGATTTTTATTAAGGTAAATGGCTTCCTAATCATAAGATATTTTTCTCTCTGCAGATTAGTTTGTTATTTGCCAAGAAATCATTGCAAGAATACATTGAACTAGAAACTAAACCAATCACTGCCAAAGTAGCAAACTCCTTCCGATTATTTCAATTAACTTTCACGCTGGTCAAACAAAACTTTCCTATGGCGGCGAACGACAAACGAGAAGACTAACTGCGAGGGATGTCGGACGTTGCCGGAGGGGCGATTCCCTCTATAGAATACTTCCTTGCTCGCTTGGCTGCCCTGGCACGGCGAAAAAGTTTCAAATCAATTTTACGTACATGAATGAAACATGAACGTGCATGCTTTGTGGAGCAATTTATAGCAACACACAGCCACAAACAAACAGGGTATCCATATCCTATCCCCCCGACATCCCGACATCCCAACTCCCCAACATCCTAACATCCCAACTTGCCTCGGATCGCAAGCGGAAATCCATTGTAGAAAACTTGTGAAATGGCAGAACAACGAGGCAAAAAAGAGTGGGGCTCCCCTCGGGGAAGGGAGTGTGGGATGGATCGGCTCCCTTATCCTCCAAAAAAGAAAACCCCTTTGCCTTTTCTCTAGTGTGTATTACAACAGCCAGCATATGAATTTAGTATTGAATTTAAATGCAAATTGCGTTTGCATGCAAAGCGTGTAGAAAAATAGACAAGCCGAACTTCAGGGGGGTATAGGGGGTGGAAGAGGGTGGGGCTGGCAGGTGCCAACAGTTGTTATTCCGTAGTCTGACCTACAGTCGGCAGGCTGAAATTCCACTTCACCTTTAAAACTTAACCCTCTAACACTTGCACATGCCAGCCTCTATGCATACTAAAAACAGGAATATTTGATCAATTTATTTGTGGTTAGTTTTACTTAAACGAGTCTCTGGGTCTTTGGCCTAGTCTCTCTGTTCGTTTTATTTTCAATTTTCCAAAAGAAAAGCTTAGTGTAAATGCTTTTGATATCTAGGTTAACGGAAAAAGAACATCTTTTTAAATATTATTATGAATTTGGGAAATTCTAAATTGAAAAGTTGACTTAAAATAATTGGAAAAACCTAACACAAGTCTACATCCTAACAAATATTGTTAAGTATATTTTGCTAATATCATTTCCTATTAACTTTTAAGTTTTTCTTAAAACTGAAAAGCTCTTGTACTTTGCAAACGAAATCTCTTTGCCTGTCCTTGGGAAAACCAGCAAGTGATATTCCACTGATGGCAAGAAAACCCCTCGATGGCTGGGGATAAACCATTATGACATACAGTCTGCCATTGCCGTATAACGAAGGAGGAACTTTTGCCGCACCCACTGCCATGCCAGTAGATCTTGCCAAGGCCCTCAGAAAACTGGCAAAGTTTACGGCCAATTTACAAAGCCCTTCTTGGCCATAGAGAAATGCAGAGTGTATAAAAAGTTGCCATTGCAGGTCGTGCGAATGCCAGCAACTCGCTGACAATGCGTATGCATCTGTTGAGGTTGGGAGGATTGCTGCTGGGTGAAGGAAGGACTTCTAGGACTTTCAAGGGGAAATGGAGCGGACAGGGGGCCGCCTTTACTCACCTATGACATTCAGGCGGAATGCCATCGAAATCTTTGGCTCCGTATTCACTTGGCATTCGTAGATGCCGCTGTCACGTGGCTGGGCATATTTCACATGCAATGTCCAATCCTTGGAGTCGGCGGTCCGCACCACCTGTTCAAGTTAGAGAGAGAGAGAGAGAGAGAAGGTAGGGGAAAGAGAGTGAGAGAGACATAAAGCGGGTGAAACAGGATGCCAAGATAAATCGTTGCTGGGGTTTGGGCCAGAGTCCTTGGCAAATTTAATCAATGAATACAAGTTGCTTGGCCCGAATTGCATACGCAATTAAGCTGACTTTGCTTACAAGCCCTTCGGACATTTAATAAGCTGCCAGGGCTGCCAGGGCTGCCAGGGATGGGGATTCCGGTGGAAGAGAGACTATAACTTTAGCCGAGATTACGTATACGCACCTTGAAACGCTCATCAGATGTGTAGGTCAAAATGCCTGCAGTCAGAATGTGCAAATCGCGTTTTCTTATCCAGGATACCTGCAATGGAATGAACAAAAAAAAAGGGACACCAAATTCTGTTAGTGCCAGTGCTTAAGTCAATTTTAAAAATTGCCTCTGGTCCTGCCAGTCGGCTGCGCAGAAATTCAACGTTAGCTCCCAGGCCCAAGTCCCAAGTATAGATACGAAAATTTAATAATCCAAGCGGCAAAATGAACTAAGCAGCCAACTCTTAAGCCTAAAGATACAGTGGGCCCTGGCACAAACAGAAAGCACCCTCTTTAACAATATGATTAGCTTTTGACTGATAAAATTGGATTCTTTTCTAAAGAGGAATTAAACAGGATCGAACTGCATGGTTTCAAAATGGTAACGATCTGAACCTAAAGCAGACCTTACTGTATCTATATACAAAGCACATTACAGCGTGAAAAGCAAGGGGAAAGAGAGCAGATGGGGAAGAAAAATGGAGACAAGTGCGTGCCCAAAATGTCAGCGGCTTAAAGTTGCCAAAAGCCCCGCAAAATACCCGCCGAATTGAAAGGAAGGCCGGCGCTACTGCAGCAGGCAAAAAGTAATCTCCCAGACGGCCTCGGGCAAACAAAACTTTCCGGAGCCCCAAAAGACGCATGAAAAAATGAACGGGGCGAGGAGAAAAGCGAGCGAAGAAAACCAGGCAAGATATAAACGAAACTAAAAGTGTCAAAGTGGCGAAAGGGAACAGCATCTCAGACGAGATGCCCAGAAAATAGATGGATCCACAAGGTGCGCGATAGTAAATCTGAATAAGACCATGCTGCTAGTGAGCAGGAGATAAATGGTGATTACAAAGGGTGTTGAGATTGGTCTTGAGGAGTGACGAGTTGCAGAAATGCACTTTATAAAGCTGGCACCCTGTGTACTTACAAATTATTGCTTTAAAGAGGGTTGAAAATTAACTTAAAATAGATAATACTCATTGCATTTGTATCTTGGTGTCAGTTCTCAAGATGGATCTCATTAAAGTCAAACAAGACTTAAAGAAGGACTCGAATACGATATACCCAGGAATACATATGAAACCAAAAGAAAAGCGAAAAAAAGTAAACTAAATGAAAGCAAAATGAGTTTGCAAAGTAAACTCGGCATTGGTCAAAGGACAGACTAGGAGGGACTTTCGGGTGGAAGGCAGAAAACTTCGTCATTGAACCGGCAAAACAAGGGTGGCAAAGAACCAAAAGAGATGGCGACGAAAGCGTTGAAGGAAAGCCAAGGCAGAAGATGGAAGTTGCTGTTGGAGAACTGCATGAGAAAAGTTAGCGCTAACTTGATTTTCAGCTTGACTGACGACCCAAATATTTTCCTTAAAAATGCATTAAAATGAAAATCCGTTGGGGAAAAATCTATTCAATGATAAGCTGGTAAATGCAATCACTTGACTTGCTCACCGATTTATCTCCCAGATTGTCAACGCGGCAGTTGATGGCCGCTGTGTGTCCCGTCCTGGTCGTAATGTTTCTGGGCATTCCGAAATCGAAAACGGGCGGCGGATAAGTGGTCTCGTCTGGCTGCTGCTCCTCGGCCTCTTGCTCCTCATCCAGGGAGTTTCCGAACTGCGGAAATTTACTATTGACAGACGCAATGTAAACGTAATCATTATCATTGGTCGATGGTGCAGAAACTATGGGCAACAGGTTGTTACTGCCCTCCACGAGATGAGCTAAAAAGGAAACAAAGTTTAAGCTCGTTAGTTATGTTCGTCAAAATAAGTATGAAAAGTAATATTTGGGATAAGGTAAAGTAAATTGCATTCTAAGACCACCTTTTCATTTCCTTATGTTTCTTAAATTTCCACAAACAATAGCAAATAAGAAAATGCTATAACACAAACCTCTTTAAAGCCAAGTTTAGACTTTAAGGGTCAAGGAAAAAGAAGAGAGATTGTCAGCATAAAGGAATAGTTGAAAGGGGAGAACATTAATTAAATGCCACTCAATGCTCAATAAAAATGCTTTCAGAACCGGAGCTATATTACTGCTATAGCACTGTACACAGCACACACTCGAAAATATTTCAAAAATGCACAATGACATGGCATTTTACGGCTCGTTAGGATCAAAGGACAACTAGCGAGAGAGAGCAATAAAGCCAAAACAATGGAAAAATTGCTCATAATAATTATATATCACACATGGCAAGCAATTAAGTGATTTCCTTTCATTTCGAAGACACAGAGAACACAGTTAAACAATGGGAATGGTTTTTAATTAAAATAAATGAGTGCTTTTTAATGTCTCGAGAGGTAGCTACTAAAATCCACAGTGCAGAGTCATCCCGGAAAGACTCCAAATTGGCCAACATAATTCCCATTACTGCTTGCTTGATGTTTCCAGGAAGAGAGCGTTTAAGAGCCAAAAAGAACAGATTATGCTGCATAAAACTATCATTTTTTTCCCCCGGGCAACGAGCTTGATTCAACTTTCAAGATACATACTTCGTGCCAACTGTATTTAAACTTAGTTTCCGTACCCTTTCTCTCTCACTCATTGCCAAACCGCATCGTGCCCGGTTCAACAAAGTTCAAAGTTCGCGCCGACAAACGCGTATAAATTATAAATCACTCAGCAGTAGCAGCACAAGCAGCAGCAGCAGCAGCAGCGACGATAACTATGCAGCGCAGTGCGGCACGGACTATCTTCATTCCCAATCCTCGTGCAATTTGCAATCCACACCTCTCACGTGCACGTGGAAACAGCTATGCATTCGCACCTCGTGGCGAGAAGCGAAAAATCATGTTTTCTGCATTTGAATTTATTTGACATTTTAATGAGCGCATAATGGCAGCAGAGGAGTCGCCAAACAGCGACGCGACTCGCTTCCTGATAATGGCCAGGTAGTGAGTCCTTGCCATCCATAACTCACAAACTGGCAAAAGCTTCAAGCCAAAGAACCCACCCACCCACAACCCTCCACATCCAAGTCCACTTCTACTTCCACATCCACTTCCTCCTGTCACTGCTTCCAATCTCTAACTGGGTCACTCACTTTTGCCGGCTGCACTTGAATCTTTTAGGCCATTGGGGTGGCACTTGTGCATGTTAGACACAAAAATCTAAATTATTTAAGTGCCCACCCCCCGAACGGGCACACTCATGCATACATATGTGAAAAGTGGGGGGCGAAATAGCCACATACAGATACAGCGATTTACAGTGGGCCTTAGGTTAGTGATATCTGATTAATACTAGTTTTGAGTCTGATTATTTTTTTTGCCAAATCTTCCTTTAAGGGACATATTTCACTGTAAGAACACAGCATGAGTCAGTTTTTATATTTTTCCAAATGTATATAAAAAAAACTGCAACCAGAGAGTTCCACTTTGGCATTGCCCACTGTAAAATATGCGGCAAAAGAACTCTCTGCTTTTATGGAAAAGTAGTCTAAACATGAAAAAAATCACAAAAAATAAAACTAGATACGAAATGCCAAAGTGAGTGCAGCACTTTTTGCAGCTGCATCCGGCTGTTGTGTGTTTTTTGTTGTTGCACGCCGGCACTCATACAGATACACTTTCAGTTTTGGCATCATTTAGATGCTCGTGAAGCAACTGATGCAAATTTAATTTGGACACCTCGCAAAAAAAGCGGCGCTTGCGAGTGCCCCGTAAAAAGTGAAGGGGAAATGCGAATGTGAAAAAAGAGGTGCCCGTCCTGGGCAGATGTGGCTGTAGATGTCGATGTGTATGGAAGGGCAACTATCTGGTGGCATAACTTGCACTCGAGTGTGTGTGAACTGCAACTAATGATGTTGCAGGCACTCGCATGCGGCTTTTTGATTTAACGATCGAGCGCAGTTTGCCTTTTTCGACTTTTTTTTTCTCCTCTTGTTTTTGGCCAAAAATGTTGAGCTGAGTTGTGTTTCGGAGGAGCTTAATGGCTCGTTTTGGTTGGTTACCCGATTGCTGCGGTTGATGGCCTTCATCCTCACGTTTTTTCCACGCTTCTCTCATAAACTTAATGCTTTGTTTCCGCCGAGGTATATACATATTTATTCGCTTTGACTGTTGACAGGAGAAAAAACCAAATATTTTACCTCCTAAGAGGGGTCATAAAAACCAAATAATGTCCATAGTCAACTAACAAAAAAAAGGCGTTGATTGTCTCTGAAATCGATCTGCTGCAGACGGAAAATCGGCTTTTCTTTTGAGTCCCAAGATTAATTTGGCACCCCTTGTCAAGGTAATGAAGTTTTTACTTTTCGGCTTTGCTGTAAATATAAAAGCCGATTTGACGTTGACCGGTTTTTTGTGATACTGGACACAATACGCCCAAAGGTGCGCCTGACTGGGCTTAATAGTGTTGATGAACTGGCTTTGTTTATTGCGTTCTTAGGAAAACGGAAAATTTTCAATTTGGCTTAAAGACTAATAAAGAGGAAGAAAAAGTGTGGTCTATTGTCAATAATTGCTAAACAATATTTTCAGAATTCCTTCAGTCTCTTAAACAGGCTTAACCTCAAGACCTTAAACTGCCAGCTTTGCGCCCGCCAAAGCTCTTCAAAAAGATGCAGCTAAAGCTCTTTAAGTTCCCTTGCCTTCAAACACTTTAAGCGCACGCTCCTCGAGGGAGTGGCTAAAAACAGAAAAGGTCTTTTGAAAAATTCAATAAGCAGCCCGTTCCATCAATGTCCTCAAGGAGATATCTAGTTCAGTCTGTCTGGGCCGGCGAGTGGGTGTATGGGGAATATTTATTAAAATCGTTGTTCACAATTTTTATTTAGCATATCAAAAGGCGTCCGTGGGCTAACATTCTTGTGCGGAAACATGTCCCAGAGGTTTTCCATTTATTTTTTCTTCCTTTCCATGGATATATATATTTGCTTAAGCGGAGTATCATTTTGCCACTGGCCAGTCAAACATATTTGAGGCTTAGGCCCATTGAAGTTGTCTGTGGCCAAAGCAAACGCGCCTGCGGCTAGGGAATCTCTGCTAAATGGACTCGGCCGAGATGTCCCAAGATTGTAAGGCCTTTTTGGAATAGAACATACTATATGGTATATGCCACATACCACACATCCGCTCGCGACTTTCAGCCGCTTGGTATCTGCAACGTGTTGAAGTTGAAAGTGCACCATCGCCAGAGGCTGTGTTGGCAAATGTCTCGCTCACATGAATTTCTATGTGGCAGGAAGATTAATGTCCCCAGCTTTCCACAGACAGCTCCGGCAAAGGCGTCGAACGAACATAATGGCTCATGGAAGCAGAAGAAGCACAAATGGCCAGTGGCTATTAATTGCCAAGAGTTGGGAGATCTCATAAATATTTAGTCTTATGGTCTTGAAAAATTTAAGTAAAATTGAAAACTATACTCCATATACTGGTAAACCCTTACTCAAAGGATTAAGTATTATTTTCATGTTAACTCGCCCGACCGAAACCAATTCAAGGCAACGACGACTAGACTTTTGGAAATCCCTCTGTTAATGAAAGGCTCCGCCAGACCAATTGGTTTTGGCCCTCATCCTTGCTGCTGGCAACTTTGTCACAACACAAATTCTAGGCCAGCAAAGTTTCAATTTAATTTCATTAACAATGCAAGGAAAAAGACGTTTTCTTGCCGGCTAAATCCAAAGTGGAAATTTGATAAAAATCGGTTTGCCATGGAAGGGAGGAAGAGATTGAACTGCTCGTCCCTGGCATTGCAACTAAGTCTGACTGAGCCTTTGGACACATTGCTAAGCTCAAACATTGGCACACATAAATATTTACGACTATTAGTTTTTACTCGAAGATCAAAACTTTTTCGATTTACTCGCAAGTCACTTGGACTTGGCCAAATTTGCATATCGATGTGAACGGCAACAGCAACAGCAACAGCCATCTCCAAGGCAAAATGGCAAATGGCAAAGGAGAGGCGCCAAAAAAAAACAATTAAAATAAATTTTACATAAGTCCTGGCACTGTGCTATTACTTTGTCTAAATGTTTTCAATATTTTATGCTAAATCTTTGCGAAAACAATTTTGCTGCACGAATTGAGTTGAGGAAAATGCAAATTAAAAGCCAAGGGAACAGTTCGAGCATGAAGCACCGACTTACAGCCTTGTAAATCAAGACCCAAGCCAGGGGAGCATGCAAAGGATACATACTTTCTTGTATACCATCATCAAAACCCTTGAAAGGTCCCAAACCCGGAATATGTCATGTTGTATGTATGTTATGTAGGCCAGGCGCCTGCTCCTGTATATTTATTATTTATGTAGCTCAACTAAACGCTTTGCCGCAGGAATTATGGCATAATATGTCAAAAGGCAAGCCGAGCCCCACGCCTTAAATAACGAAGAAAGACAGCTTGCCTGCTGAGCTACCCAAAGTCCGGATACTCTTCCCCCAAGCGACCAAGGATTCTTGTAAGCTTCTAATTGGTGAACCAAAACCTCGTATATACCCAGCCATACCCCGAAAAAAGTATCACATTTCCGTTGCCTTTTTGCACGATACCATTAGGACAACAAGAAAGAGCGCCAGCAATCAAAGCGGAATAAATATTAAGACGACCCATTCGCAGGGGCAATCAGTTCGCTCCTAAGCCGTCTGCCAGTCCACAAAACTCTATAAATTTTAAAGCCGCTATTAGCCGGGACTTAGTAGCAGTAATAGCGGCAACGGGCCAGCCCGGCAACAACTCATAAATGCCAACGGAGGCCGTGGCAAGTGGATTTT